CCGAAGACCTCAGCTGCTAGGCTACTGTGCTAGGACTGAAATTCATTCTCTCTTTTTTGAAATTCTCTTTTTAAAAGAGTTCTTTCCAAATCCCCTGAACATAAGGAATTTGTGTCTTGCATATAAAAAAAAGAAATATTGAAAAACAGGTCCCCGTTCCCATTTTTTAATTAAGAAAATACTGCTTCAGGTATTGGAAAGAATACATGTTTTGTATATTTCACGTAACTAGCTTCTAACACCTGAGGCTGACAGGTCGCAAAAATGTTGTTTCTTTTTAGGCTTTCCCTATCTCCATTTGCTCCTAAGGGTATCCTGATGGCTCAGCAGTGGCCATTCCTTTCTTTGTCATGTGTGACAATATGTCCTGTGCTTGAAATATTTCCCTTTTACCCTTGCCGGTTTGTTTCAATTAGCCCTCATAATATTGGATGAATGCAAATTACTATGGACTCATGGCTGAATAGAAATATAAACTATCCCCATTTCTGACTGTTTCAATATCCACAAAATTTTCTAGAAAAGTCAGTCTTGTGGACCTCTCTTCTTTGGAAAATGACACATACAGTTGGAAAATGAAGTAGGTATAGGCAAGGTGGGAGAGTAAAATATTAAGTGGGAATAGAACTAATGACAGATTCTATCTTGACAAATACTTCTACAGGCCTGTATAATGTTTTCAGTATATCCAAATTTTAAAATATCTTTTAGCTATGCTGCATAAACAATTTTGGACCCATGTGCAAGAATGTATGACCTCAGAGGCAGTTTTTAGTCTCATGGAATCCTGGTGTGTAAGAGCCAGAAAGGACATTAGAGATCATAATCCAGTGACCTCATATTACAGAAGAGTCATCAGAGTTAAATGAGTTGGCCAAGATTACAAACGTGGTTGTGGTTGTCTCGAGGACTACAAACTGTGCAAGCCAGTAACACAAGTAGCCAACAGAATTCTCTTGCTTGATCAGAGCAGTAAATCCAACCACTTAGAGTCATAGTTGAGAAGAATAGGCAGCTATCTCACCATGGCTACTAACAGTGAATGACGAACTAAAAATGATTGCCCACAAAATAACAGATAGTGCGATAGATAGTACCTAAATGTGAGGCTGGTGTTGCAGTGCAACTAGTTAAGCCAACATCAGTGAGGCGGTGCTGAAATCCCATTGGAGCACTAGTTTGTGTGACATCTGATCCAATTTCAATCTAGTGTCCTACTAATACCACTGCGAAAACAGAGGGAGATGGCCTAAATACTTGGGCCACTGCCAAGTACATGGGAAATCATGACAGAATACAGGGTTCCCAGCTTCAGCCTGGCCAATATACCTGGCTGTTGCAGCTATCTAGGGAGTGAGCCATTAGTTGAGATATCTTTGTCTCTCTGTCTCTCTTTCCTCCCTCTTTCTCTGCAACTCTTACCTTTCAAATGAATAAATGCATCATTTTAAAAAACACAATATTGGAACTGGTAATGTAGTATAAGAGGTGAAGTTGCCACCTGCAGTGCCAGCATCCCTTACGGGCTCTGATTCAAATTCTAGCTGCTCCATTTGCAGGCCAGCTCCCTGCTAATGTAGCTGAAAGCAGTGGAAGATGACCCAACTCCTTGGACCCCTATACCCAGACCCAGAAGAAGCTCCTGATTCCTAACTTTAAACCAGCTCAGTTCCTGCTGCTGTGGCTATTTGGGGAATGAATCTGTTTAACTTCTGTTTCTCTCTCTCTCTCTCTCTCTCTCTCTCTCTCTCTCTATATATATATATATATATATATATATATATATATATATATATCATTCTGCCTTTCAAATAAATAAATCCTTAAAAAAAAGACGATGCCTACACTCAACTAGGACACTTAATCATCCAAAGTTGGGGCTCTGTCACATAGCCAGGAAACTGAAGAAAGGAAAAGAAAGTGTCTCTCCAATTATGCACCTTCAGGAGGAGATACAAGAAATTTTGCAACACTTGTTGAGATGCGGATTCCTGCATCTTACTCCAGAAGTGCAAAAGTGCAGGATAGCATCTCTGGGGGCAAGATGAGGGAATGTACATTGAATCATTACCCAATGTAATACCAAGACAGGTGGCTTAGAAAGCATTTTAGGGAACACTATGCTGACTTCAATGTGCAAAATAATGAACATGCTGAAGAATCTAATGGAATAAGAGTCAAAATGTGTCTGCACCCTGATCACAAATGCATCAACTTTAAAACATTAGATTGGGGGCCAGTGCCATGGCATGTAGCAAGCTTAGCCTTCACCTGTATTGCTGGCATCCCAAATAGGTGACAGTTCATGTCCTGGCTGTTATGCTTTCCATCCAGGTCTATATTATGGCTTGGGAAGACTGTGGAGGGTGGCCCAAGTGCCTGGGAACCTGCACACATGTGGAAGAATCAGGGAAGCCTTAGGTTCCTGGTTTTAGACTGACTGAGCCAGCTCCAGCATTTGTGGCCATTTGGGGAATAAATCAGTGGATGGAAAGTATGTCACTCTCTCTCCTTCTTGGTCTATAAATCTGCTTTCAAATAAAAAGAAATCTTAAACTTCATAAAGTTTCATCTTTATGTATATTGAAAACATTATAGATAAAATGCTATGATGTGTGTGACAAGTTTTGAAGTCATGTAGGGTGAGATGGTGGAGACAATAAACACATGAAGATTAACCACACGTTGGAAATTACGGAAGTCTAGTAAAGTATGTGCGTGAATGATTCCCTAACTATTCTGTTTTGGTATCTTGGGTTTTTTTTTCCTTAATGAAAAATTGAAGAAACCACTTGATCTTAGAGATTCAGCCTATCATTTTGAATGATACTTCTCTTATATTTTCTTTTCAAGGCTTCTTTACGCCAGCTCCATCAGATTCACAAAGACAGATACTTTTTCTCTATTTTACAGGGAAATTCTTTTGATCCTGTTAAGGAACTTGTGCACAGGTAAATCACCATTTAGCGGCTCTCAGTAAGACTAGAATTCCATATTCTTTTGAATTGTAGATGAGTGCCGTCTATCACCTGATTGAATTTTTAGATTTTCATTAGGAGGTTACTAAAATTCATAGCAATTATCTAGGTCCTTTGACTTTGGAAACAGAGACTTGACTGGATTGTAGGCTCCGGGCAGTGAGACTGCCTTTGCCACATGTTCTTCTTTCTGCATGGAATATTCATCTCTGTCCCCTAGTTCAGAGCTCAACTTAGTTGTGCTGTTCTTTCATTGCCACTCCCCCACCTATTGCTTTTGCACTGGTTCTGAATCTTATTCAAACTTCTGCCATTTCGTATATCACAATGAACTGCTAATGCTTATGTGATTTTCCTTGATAAACTCAGATCACGGTCAGCATCTTAAATTTTGTATTATAGTCTCTCACCTAATGGCAATATGTAATTAGTAGTAATTCAACAACTCACACATGCCTGAATTCATTGATGTAGACGATTGGGAGGTGAAGACTCATGGGGTTTCAGGTACATACTCTGACCTTGGTCAATTTGTGCATCTAGGTTGCTCATCTAGGTCATTTTTCTTCTTTGAAGTAGATCTAATCACCCAGTCAATGTAGAAAATATTCTAAGACTGAGCATATTTTCCAATGAAAACTTCCTTCACAAAAAGATGGAAATGGAAGAGAAGGGAGGCAGAAGCACTTCCAGGGCACGTGTGTAACTCATTGAAAACTGCTTGCAAAAGAAATCTGCAAGACAGTAAATGAACTGCAGTGCAGATACCAGATCATTCGTAATAGTGAGTACAGCCTAGAAACATTCCTCCAGTGCAATCTCACATACTTTGAAGAAAGCCTGCCATTTTCTCCTCACAAATGATTGCTCATTATGAACTAAGCCCAATATATTCGAACAGTACTAGATTCTTGACCCCGAGAGAGAAGCATTCACTCACATAGTTTTAAAAGTATTCATGAAGAATACACAGGCATGGGGCTGGCACAGTGACTCAACTGGTCAGTCCACCACCTGCAAGTGCTGGCATCCCACATGGACTCATGTCTTGGCTGCTGTACTTCCAATCCAACTCCATCCTTGTGTCCTGGAAAAGCAGCGGAAGATGGCTTATGTTCTTGGACTCTTGCACACGTGTGAGAGCCCTGAAAGAAGCTCCTGGCTTTGGATTGACTCAGTTTCAGCCGTGCAACCATCTGGAGAGTGAACCAGTGAATGGAAGGTATCATTCTCTCTCTGTCTCTCCTCTCTGTAAAATCTGCCTTTTCAACAAAAATAAATAAATCTTTTAAAGAGGAATACACAGGGGGGAAATTTTCACCTTAAAAAATTCAAATTGATAATTAGACAAATTCTATACCCTACTTTATCCCTTTTTCAACACCCAGAAAGCTAGTCTCACTGTGAACCCATGTCATTTCAAAGTCTTTGCAGGCCCTTGTCCTCACCAGTCAGGTCTGAGACTCCCTGGTAAACAGCAGACACAAGAAAGGGCAATATGGAGGTAGATTTTTAACATTTGCACCCAAAAACCAACTTGTCTGTGGCTTTCATTTGGTTGTTATTTTAATTTTTAATTTGTCATGATACTGTTCCATTGGTTCAGTGATGTCCTCTTATTCCTTCCCCCTAATAATGTGTTCCCTCAAGCAGAACTGATGAATTGGTCTAAAAACAAGGGTACACAAAAAATATATCAAGGGGCTTTCCAAAATGCCAACCTAAGGAGAAATTCCTTTTTCTGGGAGGCCATCCTGTTATCCCTCAGAATGAGGAGACAAAAAGATTTTAATACATGCTACCTGAGTATTAAAAGAACCCGAGCAGAGCATGTGGCCTGTAACATTGTCTTTATACCTTTATAATTAATCTCTAATCACTTTCCCATAACTTGCAAATTTCAGTTCTGGAAACTGATTCCTTGAAAGGCAGTCTCACCACACGCTGAATTCAGAGTCATAGCTGATACTGCACTTGGAAAACTTTTGCCATGTGGCCACCAAAGCACTTTCCACTCCATACTGCATTTTAAAATACTTTATTGTCAGTGAAAAGATAGGCACAAAGTGGATTGAAACCTGCTTCACTTTATTGGAACTAGCTCAGTTGATTACAGAATAAGATCACAATCATCATGGGACAAAATACATTTTCAAGCAAAGGCAATTCTTCTCTAGTCCATCTCGCAACCCCTGTTCTCTGCTGTACAATCACATGCTGTTAATCACAAGGAAGCCAGAAAGAGGTCTGATGGCTCCATGGAACCTACCATTGCTACCAGAAAAAAATAAACTCCTGACACCTGTCCTACTAATGATGGATGGCACTTGCAAGATACATTCCCGAGAATGGCGGCAGACTGAGATTGGTGGCAATGAGCCCTCAGTGCATGCCTTCCTTTGAAAACATTTGTTTGCAAAAATGCACATTAAATGTAACATCTTCCATATGTGAATGAGCAATTTTGTTAACAGGAGAGTATACACTAACAGACATAAGAATATAATTTATGAAGGTTAGTGTATACATACTAACTTCAAGCTGTGGCATTATGAGTATTTAGGCTCTTGGTGCAAAGTTTTTTACACAGTTTGTTCATGTTCCAACGGTTATGCCCACCCAACAGTACAACAACAACAGCATGTGACAGGTCTCTTGGTACATTTCTCATGGCAGATGATGGCAGACATTTCTGGTTCCTGCTACTCTGTCACCCTGAAGCTCAGAAGCAGCACTGAGAAGAAATCCTTCATTAAGACAATAATCAAGGTATATGATTTTCAAAAGAAAGCTCAAGATACTTGCATTTCAAAGAAATCATTACTAGGAATTTTATATCAAGTAAAAGGTTGTTTTTTGGAAGTTGTTCTATACATGGGACATTGGGGTACAACTGATTGTAAGGTCCCCAGAGAACACCAGGCAGTGCAAATTAAGGCAACAGGTCAGCATCCTGTCCTGAGGTGACAGCAAAATGTATGTAAGTAAGTGGGAGTCCAGAAAGATAGCCCAAACTCACAGCCACACAATTGTGAAAAAGTGGCTACTTTAAGAGTTCTCCCAGAAACCTCATTTTTTTAAATGACATCTTGCAAAGATGTTTTGAAAAGGCAGGATTGATCTTCTCTGTAACCATAATGCACTGGCATGGTCTTCTTCCATACAATATTATTTTTGAGAATAAACCTGGGACTGGAAATTGAGTAGACAGGGGACTGCCTCTGATGTGAGAGAGCAGAGATTTTTTTTGAAAAGTCCAAAACAGAACTTAGCCAAGAACTTCCTTCTTTCTCCAAAACACCTGAGTCTGAAGAGATGGTTTCCACACTGTGTGGAATGTGTGACATGTGTCACCTGCCAGAATGCGATTACACTCACGGTCCCCAGAGTGAGCACAATTTCTAGTAATGTGTTCTGACCAGGAAAGAATTAAGTAAAAAAAAAATCTATATGTACCTTTCTTTATTTGGATAGAAAGTAGCTCCGCTGAAGTTTGCTACCTTCTGCTGCTACCATTACAGTTTTATTACGGTTTATTAAAATGCTAGTATGAAGAAGTAATAATTCTAGCTTTACTGGAGGACTGAGGTGTTCAATGTTCACTCCATTAAAGAGAATAGGAGAACTGGTTGAAAATCGCATTATCCTTCCTCATCTCCCCACTCCAAACACACACACACACACACACACACACACACACACACACACACACGGTACTTTTACATTCCTTTACTCACAGAATCCTATGAGATGATCTGAGATAACGTGATAGAGATGAACCTTGCACAAGGCACTGTAGGAGAGGCAAGACAAGAATCGCCAGACCCCTGAACAAACTGCTCAAGCCAGGGACATTCTGTAAAACATAGATACCATGGAGCACGAACATGCCTTTTTTTCAAATGGACTCCTTTTTTTTTGTGCGTTTGTTTCTCATGAGCAGCGTGGTAACTGGCAATGTGAATAGTGTTCTTGACAAAGTCACTGAATCTCTCCGAATCTCAGATTCCTCATCACTAACATTAGAGGGCAGGACTGCTAAAGTTCCTTCTCAGCACTATGGCTCATGGATATATCAGGCCTATTCTTCTACTAAATTTGGTTGCTAGCTAATACATCCCCAAGCTTCTATCCCCAACCCTCACCCATAACAATGCCCCCTCACCCTTCCGTACCCCTGCACAATTGAACTTAATGACATCGTCTGCATAATTGTTATCTTAGCGAAGGGCAGAGAGGTAACACAGGCCAGGGGCTTGTGGCAAGTAGCACCCTCTGTGTTGGTGGAGACAGCATGGCTAGGCTTGCAGCCACTGCCTCCTTTGGTCCCCGCCCACATGCACATTCCCCGTGGCTTTCCAAAGATATTCCAAAGCATCCCTGGCAATGAGAAGAGGTAACTGAGAAGACTCCATAATCCACCTCTCCTCTAAGTCATAGTACTTTGGATTTCTGGTGCCATTTCCTTGAGAGTCAAATATGCCTTAAGACATGAGACCAAGACTCTGGAAAAACAGAATGAATTCTTTTCCAAGTAGTCACCAGAAATTCAAAGCATTCAGATTATCAACAAAAATGCTCCCTCATTTTGCAAATTACTGGCAATTTAGGACTGGTGATCCAGCTAGTGAATCTATGCTGCAGAAGAAATAAACACGACGCTGATTGGTCTCAAAGGCAGGCGAGCTGTGTTCATGGCTACACACACAGACCACAGAAGTCCACACACAGCACCTCATGCAACTCTCCCGGGAGGCCTCAGGTGTCTAACTGCACCCCCACCCCCACCAAAAGAGGAAGTTGCATATCATTCAGTTAGAAAGCAATCAATGAATTATCCCAATGCATAAATTCCTCCACAGCATATATATGAATGTAGGAACCTCCAGGAGGGAAACAAAAGAACCCACTTCCAAAGCACCACTGAAATGAAGATCAACACAGTCCCTTGGGGCAGAACAGCTGGAGAGCTGGGAGCAAAGTGAGCTCCAGCGCCCTTCTGTATCCCAGGACTCCCCACCCCTTCTTCAGCTTACACAAGATCCTATAAAAGGATTCCCTTTCAGGAGCCTGAGGTGAGAGCTGGCTGTTTTCCAACTTAGTAACTGTACAAAACAGCACATTCATGAACTCTCTTGGGCTTGCAACATCCAAACTACATGTTACATACTGTCTTTCACACATGCTGTGCTCTTCAATAGAAAATGATCTGGAATAGGGAAATTTTAAACAAATTGAAGCACACTGAAAACATCACTGTATATCCACCTGCTAACTGGCCCAGTATTTGTATTAATGCAAACAGGCTTTGGAGCATATTCTGATGAATCTGTCTTTAGAGGTACTTTCTAAGTATACCAGAATAGACTGGAGTCCATATGGTATTACTTAAGTACTATATTGTTCCAATAAAAAGTCCCTTTAGAAAACATCCCACCACCCCCCAACCCTTGTCCTCACGCTAAGAAGAACAAACAAAAAGAAAAAAAATGATTAAAAGCATTCTTGCTGATAAACTTCAGCTCTTGATTGTATCATTCAGATGAGATATTCCACCATCTCTGCTTCAGGCTCTTGTCCCAGCATCTGAAGGGGCGCTTTTCTTTCCAGAGTACTGGAGTGGAAAGCAGGACCATCTGAATGGAAATAAGGAGATGAGGACATGATCAAAACTCCATTTTTTACAAATAGCCGGAGAGTTGTCACAGAGCTAAAGGAAGGCCAATTGATCCTTCAATGCCACCCCCCTGATTTGCTTCTTGTCCTGGCCACTCCTGTCTCAGATCCTCTCCTCCCCGTCTCCCTCCCCTCCAGTCTCCTTCCTCTCCCAGATTCCCACACGAACCTGAAGGGCTTGCTTCAAATGATCATTTCTGCCTGGACAGTGAACAGCACCCCCCACCCCGAAAATCTATGTTTTGAGGTGGCGTCATCAGCTGCTTACTGTGGAGAATTCTTACCTGTCTTCTCTGAATTGCAGGTCACATTTGGTGTAGACAGACGACGTGATCCAGAACCAGTGGCTGGACTTGCAGGAGCCTCAGCCTGAGCCAGAGTTGGAGCTGGAGCTGGAGCTGAAGGAGGAGCCACAGCCGGAGCAGGAGTTGGTGCCTGAGTCTGAGCCGGAACAGCAGCCTGAGCCACTGCTGGGGTCGGAGTCGGGACTGGAACCAGAGCTGGAACCGGAGCCGCAACAGCTGGAGTAGCCTGAACAGCAACAGCAGCAACAGCAGCAGCAGGAGCGAGAGCAGCTGCAGCGGCAGCCGTGGCAGTGGTGGAGGCGGCAGCTGGCATCTGAGCAGCAGCAGTGGCTGCAGGAACACCAGCAGCTAGAGCCGGAGCAGCTGCTGGAGCTGGGGCGGCAGCGGCAGTAGCAACAGCAGGCGTAGCTGAAAGAACAGCAGCAGCCGTGGCGCCTGGAGCAGCAGCTACCATGGTGGTGGTGTTGGTGGCAGCAGTAGCGGTGTTGGCAGTGATGGCGGCAGCACTGGCGGCAGCAGCAACTGGAGCAGGAACAGAGATGGGAGGAGCAGCTGCAGGCTTGTTGGGTTCCGGTCCACGTTCGGTTTGAGTGCTGCAGTCTCGGCTGCCTGTCTTGGAGTGAGCCGAGAGCAGTGGCGTGGAGGGCGGCACTGGTGAGGGTGTGGAAGGGACAGACTCAACACGATAGTCTCCACCCAGGAGAATGCCTACAAATGAAGAAGACAGAGCGGTTACGAAACAATACATTACTCTAACCCATATATCTGATTTTCTGCATTTCTTTGCAGGACTTGAAAGGGCCCAAATGCTTATTTTTTATTGATTGATTGATTTTGGCCTGCAGAAAATGTAAGAGTTGGCTTACCAGGCATTTTCTCTCATGGTTATCAGTTTCTTCTAGGCTTGGAAGATCCCTTGTGGTCTTCACCAGCCAACAAGCTCCCAGCACAACACATTAAACCTTCAAGTATCCTGAGTATCTCTTTTATTTTTTTCCAATGGTGATTGATTTTACCAAGTTGGAAAAATTCTTCCTCTTGGTTCCATTTATAACCAATACCACATATAACCAGAGAGCCAAGAAAGGACAGAAGAAACCTGTAGACACAGATGGGTCTGCTACTAAGGTTTGCTACTGACCTAAGGTTCTCAACCATGAGCAGGGTTTCCACAAATGCTTACTCCAATATATTCAAAGGATGCTGCAAGTGTCAGAGGACCACGGCATTTGAAAAAGCATCAGAAAGAGCAAAAATAAATAAATACATACAGATCCCTTCCTTAAGCTTTAGAGATGTACGTCATGCTACCTCCCAATATTCTTCTAGGACTCTGATGAATGGAATAGAAGGGACAAGCATGGATGACACAAAGTACATTCTGTTCTCATATCAGAATGTTCTGATCACAAAAACCTGCCACGCAGGTCCATTAAGCTTGAGTAGAATGCTGTGTCCTCCCTCAAGGGAGGAAAAGAACAAAGAAATTCTGGAATTTTGAAAGAACGACTCAAGGACCGCATGAGCTTTGGATACGGACAAGGACCTCTTCTAACAAAGGCCAAATCTGAAAAAAAAAATTTTTTTTAAGAGGACACTTATTTTTCTTCCCACCCAAGTAGAACTTAAGATTCTTGTCTTCTTGGGTTTGACCTCATTAATTTTTCTCAGCATGAGACTCCCCAGTGTGGCAGAGCTCTGCAAAACATAACTAACTTCTAAGGAGGAAAATATCCTGACCTGCTATATCTGCCCTCTGGAATCTGGGTGGCCACCCCTTTACCAAGCCACCTGGGGCTCTCTTGAAATGTGAATATTATCTTCTTGCTGCACTGTCATTACCTAGGCTCCCCTTCCAGCTCTTGTCCTCCCGTTTTTCTTCCATGATGGGGGCACCAGTCAAGGTGGAGGAGTGAGAGAGTAAGCCCGAACCAGCATTGGAAATGGACATCAGAGACTTGGCTGGTCGCATGGATGACAGCTGCTCGGTCTTACTTGACTCCTTCCGGGAACGTTGCTGGAGTACTTTGATCATGGCATCTTTCTCAATAATCTGGGCATGGAGAGTCTTAATCCTAGGAGTCAAAGACAAAATTATATATAAGACCTTGATGTGACCTTGTTACCTTTGTGTTCTGGTCTCACTGCCTACATGGAATGATCTCCCATTGTGCTTTTGACTAAAGAGTGGCTGAGTTTGTTCTGAGGTGGAAGTTGTGGGATGGTGTGCTTTAGGCTTTTAACTATTTTTCTGCACACCCAAGAGAGCATCCATAGTGGCTGTTTACACCTTCAGAGGTCAAAGTAAGGCACTGCTGAAAAGAAAGGCTGCACAGGACACAACAGGAGCCCTACTTCCCAGTATCAGTGAGTTCTTTCCCCAAGACTATATCACAGGTTTTATAGTGTATTCTTTACCAAGAATGCTCCAGAATATAAATGCCAATAATCTGACTTTGGCTGAGGACAATGGGAGCACAATGAAGAAGGCTATGGGGATAACAGTCAAACTTAGACTTCAGTGGTTGGTGGGTATGTTCGAAGTAAAGGTCATCCCACCTCAAACCCTAACAAGCAAGCAGGGGTGAAGGTGAAGGGGGAATTCCGTGTTAGCAGGACAGCTGTCACTTTTTGTCCTTCCCTACTGACTTATCTGTTCTCTACAGCAGCTTCTCAGATCCATCTGAAACCAGACTGACATTTTTACCTGCCCTCCATGTCCAAGCAACGCTTGTTGGCCATCAGAATTTCTTCTTCTTCCTTCTGGATGCGAGCTTCCAGAGCTGTGTCATAGCTGGTATTAGGAGAGTGGCTGATGACCGATGCATCCCTGAGGAGGAGAATGTCAGGGATGATGATGGGAGAACAACAAAGAGAAATGAATGCTATCTCTATCTTAAGGCAAAGGAAGATATGCTGGAAAGACCTAAATAAGATCAGTTCCATTAGGGATGGCTAGTTTCTAGATGACTTACTGCTAGGAGTCTCCAAGATAAAAAGGCTCAACTTCCAGAGTAAATGAAGAGGGTTTTGGCATGGGTGAGGCTTCAAGATTCGCTGAATGACTCCATAACATGTGCACAGTATTGTTTTCAGAACTAGACAGACATCCACCCCAAACCTTCTGGAAGACAGCCCCTTGAACTATTTAGGCCATGGCCAAAAAATATACATATATATATTCCACTTTATTCTAAAGACCACTGTAAAAGGGAAAAGGCTGGATGTTGAAGGAAATCAGCTTATTGTGACCGATGAGCATCAGGATCTACACCTGAGCACTGGAAACAAATGAACAGGCTGGCAGAAAAGACTGGGTAGGCCATGTGAGCTGACAAAGAGGGTCTTTGAGTCGGTCTCACTCAGGGTTCCTATCTAATCTAGATCTGAAACACTCTAGCACCAAATCAATGAGTTTCCCCGGACTAAGCGACTGTTCCCTTGCCAAAGTCCAGGCTATGTAAGGGACTATATCATGTTCCATATGAAAATGTCTTCGGCCATTAATCAAAAGGCCAGTTAATAGGGAAAGCATGTGTTGTGAATGTGCATGCGCACATGCACGTGTGACACAGAGGTATTAGGACAAGGAAAAAATATTGGTGTAATTATATTGGTCTTAAAGAAAACGAGACAATAGGCTGAGAAAACAATGAATTGGCCCTGCTCCCTTAAACTTCCTAAAAGAATGACGATCTGTGAGAAAAATCCAGGCAGATTCTCTGCTGGCAGTCAACTATACTCTCTTAACATTGAAATTGTGACTAGTGCAGGTGTAGATGAAGTGGCAAGGGATGTTAAGGTTGGGAAACTATGTGAACCTTTGCAGAACCACTCTTACTGAAAAGGCTTGCATTTTTTTTTTCTTTTTTGCCAAGTTGAAGACATACCTTGAAACAACAAAGTAACTGTAGAGCACACAGGAAAAAAAAATACAATGGTCATCATTTGCTCAGAATTCTATGCTTTTAACTCTATATTTCCTCTGGTACAATATACTTGGTTCTTGTTCGACTGGATACCTAAGACAAGGCAGTATTGTAGAGTTCTTAGAAGCTTGGGCTCTTACTAGAATCAACACTGCATTCAAATCCCAACTTTTGGAAGTACCCTGTTGCTATCCCCTTCGAGATCTCAGAAAATCACTTAGCTGCCTAAGCTTCAGTCTCTCAATATGCATAATGGGAACAATAGTTGCATCATCATCTCCTGGGGGATAAAATAAAAATTGTGCATGCAACATATATGTGGTTAGGCAGAGAGTAAAGGCAGTAAACAAAGCAAATCAGTGAGAGAGAAGTGCATAGTATTTGAATCTCTTGAATGAGATCAAGTGTAAGAGAGACATGCACAGGTAGAAGAACAACATAAAAGAGTATTACTGGAGAAGAATCCAGTTTCTGGTATAATCTGGAGGCTCTTCCTGCACTACAGAATTCCAGTCGGATGACTGAGGTTTCAAAGCCTTGCCTCTTAAAAGTGCATGGTCTCTAAGGACACTGAGGACTGGAGCGCACGGTTTGTCACAGGGGGAACTAGCCCTGGCTTCCTGCCACTTCCATTGCATAAAAGACCATTCTGCGGACACAGAGCCCTGCCAGCTAATTGATATGGACACTGTGAACTCCTCAGGAATGAAGCCTGAAAATGTGGGGCACTTAGTGAATTCCTACAGGGCTGCCAGGACAGCCCTCAATGTCAATGCTCCTTCTAGAAGACTAGGGCTACTAGGTCAATGGCTTAGACCAAACCAATCAAGCAGTATTTGTAGGAGCAATTTGACCTGCTACCTTGCAGCACTCAAATGTTATCCTTAGGAACATCAGCAAAGAGATTTCTGCTATTGTAAAACACAAAATCTGCAAGTCCCTAATCGCAAATCTGTCAATTTCACTTCAGCCATACTGTGAATTCTTCAGTAAACATTTTTTTTTTCTTTTTTTGGTCAATAAACATACTTCCAATAATCTTCTCATGTATTCCTTTCTCCAATAAAGTTATCCCCATCCCTCTACTCAAGCTCCTTGGTACAATGATAGTACTTGGTACTAGTGACATGCTTTTGTTTATTTAACACATGTAACCTACAGTAAGTGGAAGATGATTTTGAACTTCATGGAAGGCTGATGGGGGAGAAAGATGGATAAGGATAGTCCTTGATTGCAGCAAACTTGCAAAGAAAGGCAAAGAAAAAAGTAAATAATTAGCCATAATGGGAATGAGTTCGATTCTTATTTCAATAGGCAATGAAAAAATAGAGTTTTTGTAAGTGAATGAAATGATCTGAGTTGCGTTTTCAGAAGACACCATTATCTCTTGCTGAAACGTGAGGGGAGGAAGGTCAGAGGAGAAATATACTGGAATCAGGCAGGACAGTAAGTGAAGTGGATTCTAACAATCCCAGCAAGAGATAATGAAAACATGAACAGGTGCAGTGGCAAGGGGAAATGGGAACAGGCTGTAGGAGGTAGAAATGATAAAATTGGGAGACTAAGTGAATGTAGGCGTGAGAGCGGACAATAAGAACTTTGTCGTTCCCGATACAAATGACCAAAAAAGTGACAGACCATTGGTCGTGATAAGAAATGGGAAAAGGGGATTTGTGGAAAGTGCTGCAATGGATTTTGATTTTGAGTGCATCCCAGGTAAAGTGCTGAAAATCTCACTTTTAATGTCAGAGATGTCAGCACAACTATTATGGAGTTACTCATATTATTATTAACAAAGAGCAGGTTCAGCAGAAAAGAAGTATGAGTGTGGAATAAGGAGAAGATGGAAACTGACTTATAATTGCTTACAATGAAGAAACGGGTAGTCGCATGGCCTGTGTGTGAACAGCCTCTACCTCCTGCTATGCTTTTCTTTACTTCTTCCCTTCTAAGATTTATTTTACCCAAAATAAAAATGAAACATTGCGCATTCACTGAAAGCTAACAACTGGATTCAGGAAATACAAACAAATAATTCACATGTGTTATCCTGTTATCCTTTCACTGCTCTTCTGAAATAAATTCACTCCTTGTAAGCTGAAATCCAAAATCTGCCCTGCCAAATTGGGCCTTGTGGGATGGAACATGAGCACTTACTTGGTAATAATTTCCTCTCATCTATATGAAGCAGCAAGTGGGAACTCTCCAGGGATACAACAATATGGACCCTTAATATGGGCAATATTATTGAGACTATTTATAATATTTCCAAGTGAGTACATAATAAGCTTCAAGTATTATCTTATTGAGCAGTTAACAGTCCCTATTCTTTGAGCTACAATATATCTGGGAGGCAGCCAAGTTTAGCAGCTAAAGTGACAAAAAATATAGATATTAAATTCTGTTTTTCTGCCATTTCACAGCCATGTATGATATCCTCTTGTTTCAGCTTCCTCGATAGAAGGGACAACAGAACTTCCCTGGAAATATTGCTGTAAGGATAAACAAGGAGTGGGAAGGACCCAGAAAAACACCTTGAATGGTAACCACTACATGTGTTCGACAAGTAAAATGCCTGTTGAACAAAATAAATGTTCCAGATCTCAAATAGCCATTTTCAAGAAGATAAAGAATCAAATTGACTTTCTATTTCTAGGCAGTCTTAACTTTTAATTAACTAAAATTTACCTTCACATACAACTGACCAATATCATGGAGTTGCTGTGTCTGATGTTTTAGAATTAAAGACAGTTCCAGCACTTTCCATATGGATTAAAATGCCAATGGGAGGGAGAAGGGAATGGAAAGAGGAAGGTAATGTCATTATATTCTTAGAATCGTATGAAAGCTGATAAATATTCATTAACAGTTAAAATTTAAAAATAATGTATTTCCAAAAAATGCCTGTTCTTGGACCCTTTTAGACCAAATCTAGCTTTTTCATATACTGATCTTTTCAGAAATCATTGTATCAACAGCTTCCTCTTCAACAAGGTACTTCATAGAATGAAAGTACTGGAAAGGGTAGAGGCATCAATAGACAATCTAATGTGTCTTCTAACCCAAGAAAAGACATTTGTCTTATATTAATATGTATTATATTATTTGAAAAGGGTAAAAACTGGAGACAATCAATGTCTATCATCAGGTGAGTGGATACATGAACTGTGCTGCATTAATTCCGAGAAACACTGCAAAACTACTCAGCAATAAAAAGGAATAAGCTATTAATAAACACATCAACTCAGATGACTCTCAAACAGGAAGAATAATACAGTAAGACTTCCTTCTCTATGACCCTCTAGGACATAAAATTATAATTTTATGATAGAAGAGAATAAGTTTAAGGAACACAAACACCAAAATGTGTCCTCTCTTGACTACACTAGTGGCCATACTGTTTTATACAACTGTCAACATTCCGACTGTGCACCTGAAATGATACTCTAAAGATTGTTACTAATAGTGAATAGAACAATATTTCTGTTTTAGAACAATCTTTCTGTCTTCTACAATTACTGCTGATACCACCCAAGCAAGATGCCCAAATATGAAATGGGTCATCGATTTATGGATGATTTGATTTGGGATAATGGTAGGCTTGAGATAACACAATACACAGATTGAAGGATTTAAGATATACATCCCCAAATCATTTTTTTTCATTGCTTTCTGTCTCCTTCCTTTCTTCTACTTTCTTCCCTTAGTGAAATATATCTGGCAGCCTATATCCCAGGCACTTAAAATTTATTTTGAAAAGAAAAGATAAAACTTTCACTAAGGAAAGAGAACCAGTGGCCAGATTTCTGGGTGATTTCTGCATTTAGGACTGGGAGGAGGAAGAGAGGGACCAAATGGGATAAGAAAAGGAAAGACTCAGAAAGAAAGACACACAGGTTTTGCTGCACATCATGTCCTAATTCAAAATCTGAAAATAAACAAAAGAGGAATAGGAAACTAATCTCTCTGGCAAAGCGTAAGAAGCACTAAATGACAAATACAATTCAATTCCAGAAATAGTCTGATTTTTGTCTTACAAAAATTAAAAATACAGTCTATCTCCCAATCTCTTCTGTGGGCTGAACTACCAGCATGCAAAAAGACATACAGTCTAGATTCTGGGAACTGGATGGTTTTAACATATGACATGATAAATAGGGATTACATGAACCGTTCTACCTGCTGATGTAAATGAGCTTAATTTACACTAAAATCTACCTTTGCAAGCAAAGAGATTCTAGAAATTCACCAGAAAAGGGTTTCTCCCATGCTTATGAGTTTCAAGGGAAGGAGGAAGGAGTATTTTTTTTTCCTACAAGATCTCCCGTGAGAACCCCTAGCTTTGCTGCATTTTTTAGCTGGACTGCATCTGGACTGCACTCCCTCAAAGCTGGCTGTATCCTTCTAAGCTTCTAAGGATGGGGGAAAATTACTCTGTCATGTCTCTTCACCTCCTGATGAAACCAACGTGCTTTCACTGATAGGACTTTCAAAGTAACCTCTAACCCAGTGCTAGGTATTTCCTCGGGGGCCATCAGATAACATGATGCTTAGCTCTGCTTCTTACCTGCCTACAAACTTGTGACTATATTTCGACACAGGTGGGTTTTGCATTTCTTTCTCAGGAAACCAAGTCAGGAAAGTTTTAGCCCAAAAGAACCTCAAATCAAGCAACGGGCAGTTTTCATCTAGTTCAGCTCTAGGGAGTAGCTCGGAGAGGCAAGATGAATGTAAGATGACTTCTTGGAGAACTGGGAAGATTCTAAAACATTTGCCCACTCTGATTTTCCCTCCCTGATTTAGTATGAGAAGGACAGGAGTGCATCCAGACACTGCTGCCCTAGCATGCATTTGAGCTAACATTCAAACATGCAAAAATAGACAATAAATGCCTAGCTAGAGATCTACGTAGGCTCACATGCCATAGCTCACCTTTGATACTCAACAGACAGAAGAAGTGTATTTGTCACAGTATAACCCAAGTCCTCATTTGATCAGAACCTCCTTGCTGCAGTTTATCTGTCTATTCTTCCATCCTTTCTCCCTTTCTCTCCTCTCCTTCCTTTGGTTCCCAGCTGATGCTTCCGAACAACAGCAAGACAGACACTGCCATCTCCTCCCGAACCAATAACTAATTTTCACGGTTTGAAAAGGAGACAAGAATCAAAAATTTAAAAATCCTCCTGCTATTTTCTCTCCTCTAGCAGATGGAATGAGACTGCTTACATGAGATGAGTTCAGCCTCACAGAGAATGCGGCCTTCAAATATAGACTTTCTCAAAGGGCAGGGATGGACTCATGTTCAGCAGAGCCTTTGACATACCTTGGGAGAGCCAGAGATATCAAGTGACAGCAGCCACTCCTCAGTGACATTTATTTTCTGAGTGGCCTTTCCCTAGAGGGGCTTTCATTCCTGTCCTGGGGCTAAACAGCTTGCACACATGGCTGGAAGAATCAATCAGTGGCTCTAAGGGAAGGAAGGAGGTGGGCAAACATACAGCGGATCCCATCTTCAATTGCTCTGGCTGCGGGGGAAAGCTGAGCCATTATTTCAGTAACTGCAGAAAGCAATCTGCCTTTCCAACTTCCCCAGCTCTCTGACCCTGAATCCACTCCATCCCTACATAATCAGGTGGAAGAAAGCACTTAAAAATGAACTTGGAGAGAGAGAGAGAGAGAGAGAGAGACTACTAAAGAAACCCTGGAAAGGTTCAGGAATCAATTTTCTTTCTGTGGGCTCCCCTCTCACACCCTCGTAAGCCGAGGTCCTCCCAGCTAACTACTGACCTCTGAGCAGCCACGGTGGCAGCAGCGTCCAGAGCAAAATGTCTCATCACATTCTCCTCCAAATACTTCTGCTCCCACTTCGTCATATCAGCTTCCAGGGCCAGAATCCTCTCTTCCTTCTCTCGAAGGAGCTCCATCAGTGCTGCGGCACTGTATTCGGAAACGTTGGTGGGTTGTGTGTTGCCCTGGCGCTGGCGGGGAGGAGGGGGAACAGGCCGAAACCCTTGAGGTTAGTGAGGGAAGAATCATGCTGCCCAAGCCTCATTTGAAGAGTCTCTATTCTTGAAAGATTACTGCCCAGGCTACTGAGGTTGGATTCTAATACAAAGAGAGGTTATGGGCATTGAGATCTCCTGCAGCCCAGGACTTCCCGTCCTGACCTTGGTGACTCCCTTCTTTCAGGTAAGGAGCCTGCCACAGCAAATTGGCATGCGGCTCAGAAAATCCAGGAGTGATGTCAAAATTGTCATTCCCTTCTCACCAGAGACTAACAGACATTGGAACTAAAATACCCAGAATCTAGGTGGTTTTACCCCTAAGTTGTTGTGTGATCCTCAGTGAGTTAGGCAACTTTTTGTGGGGTCTTGATTTTCTCTCATCCAACACCAAGGACAAATATGGCCAGGGAATTTCTAAAGACCATTTTCAACTCTAAAATACCTGGGACTCTGTATAGAGTCTACTGTGTCTGGGGTTCATGTGAAAATAAAAGTTGCAAGATCATTGACATTAAAGATCTTGCTGGGAGAGCAAGCTGAAGAAACAGGCTTTTTGTCTGCAACAGGCTGGCGATCTGCAATAGTGTCAGATGGGGCAAAGCATTTAAAGATGAATAAACGTGTGTGTGTATGCGTGTGTGTGTGTGTATGTGTTCCTAGTAAATGGTAACTGAAAAGTAAGCCATCAGTCATAATCTCATTTGCTTCCTTCCTTTATATTGTCCATACCTGCTGGAGCCTGAGAGATTCCAGCTCTCTCTCCAGGCGAGTCCGCAGGCGGTGTTCCAGCTGCTCCCGCTTCTCACATGCGGCCTGGAGCTGTACGAGGGCTTGCTGCATCTTCTCCACCTTATCTACATACACCTGCTTCTTTTTCAACTGGGAATTCAGGTTGGAAGAATTGAAAAGGGGAGGGGGAGAAAGAGCGACAGGATCAGTTACACAGCCACCAAACATATCCCACTGTTTAGATTGCTTTCTGTAGTATCAAACAACTCTCTCCTTTACCAATCCCGCGCCCCCCCCCAAGTGAACAGTAGTCGATCTTTCATGGATGGCAGATTGTGTTGGATATGGCATTTCTAAAAGTTGGTGGGGAAAACAGAATTCAAAGATAAGTTTAGTTTTGTGCAAATTACTTTTGAAATCCATGCATAGTTTTCTTCCATATGTATTTCCATGAAGTTTTTCAAAATCCTTATGTTTCATATATAGGACACACGTGAGAAATTCTGTTTTACTTTCTTCCTGCTACCTCACTGCCTTTTCTCAGGAAAAGCTGTCCTTAGATGGAAAGTTTTTTAGTTTCCCATTATACGGATGTCCCCACCTCTGATGTTCCTCACTATAACCTGAAAAAAATCTGTAGGAATATGTATGTTATTGGTTATTTCAAAAGGGAAATGCTACGGGACAGGGGGATCTCTAGGGAGATGAGTTCAATTTACCTCCTCTCTAAGTGTCTCAAAGGGTGTTAACTGATGAATGTACCAGGAGACCAAAATTACCTTTTGAAATCTCTGACTCAGGTAATAACTCAAAATAATCCATCACTCTTCTCTTGGAAACTTTCTGTGTCACAAAAGTAAAGCTTCAGCCTTAGTTTCCTCAGTGATCACCAATGATTTGATACTGTGTTGTTCAAAGACCACAGGTGATTTTGCATTTTCTATCCCATGAGCCTGAGTTGATGATCCTAGACTGGTCCTTAACTTTCAAAGATCCTTAATGACCCAAACTAGCGAAATTAAGTCTAGACAGAACCAAGCATGACTCTTCTTCTTTGCAAGCCTATAATCCACACCCAAGAAAGCAAAAAGTAAAAAAGCCAGTTGGGGAATTGGAATGTGAGATCTCTGTGTGGTTGTAATTTACAGGCCAAATCCTGGCTCCTTGCAAATAAAAGCAAGCCTGACCTCAGAACTCTTAAGCAAGGTACATATAACTGCCACACCTAAGATTAGAAGAAAGGGCAGCTTTCACAGCTTGTTACCAACTGCATCGATGATGCCTTTCATAGCATGTGTGCAATATTTCTCAAACCTAGTATTTCAACCTGTGGATTCTTCCTAAGAGGACATCTGTTAGTATCATTCTCATAAAATGGAGATTAGGGATATTTTCACTGTTAAAATATGAAAATCTGAAAGTATTTTGATAATCGTCTGAATAAAAAAATTCTGGAGTTTAATTCTGATTTTTTTCTCTCCAAATCCCCAAGCCCTAAAGCTATCAAGATGGACAAATGTGCTGTAACTTAAGTGCACTCCCTGCATGGCCCATACTTGCCCAGCTGGAGTCAAGGCAAAAGGACCAACCTGACTCCCCTATTGCAGAAACCACATAACTGCTTCATGGGAATAAGTCCAAATCACAGCACTCCAGAAATCCAGTTAGATAACACTGGTACGTTGTACTGACAGCAAAAGCCTCCTTGTCTTATAACTGCCTTTGCTTCAGATTAGAATTGCTGAATTTTGTCAAGGTTGAAAAAAACCTATGTGACAAAATCCTAGCAGACCAACTGTATCCTGCTCCTATGTGGTTGGAAAAGAAAAACATTTACATTTTTTGTACACTGTCTTGATGTTTGCCTTCATACCAAACCTAGTTCAGTCAACCCTTGGAAACCAGTTGAAGGAAGTTCTAAGCCTACCAATATTTTATCCATCTTATCTTTCCCTAGGAATAGAAAACAAATTGAAAAAAAAATCACATTTTTCTCTCCAAATAAGCTTAAACCTTTCTTTTCTGGAGTATGTGATTATTTGTAATAACACTGTTTAGGGCAGTCAAATCTTTAAGGTCATCGATGCCTCTGCCTTTCTATTCACTAAGCTTTGAATAACTGGAGAACAGAAAACATCCTCTATGCTTCATGTTTTGGATTCCTTAATCCTCATAAGCCATTTAAAGTTGAATGCATTTATTTGTGAATCACTTTGGAAACTCTAAGGGAGCAGTACAATGTTAATGTAGAAAATGTTAACTATAATTACTAAGGCTTATGGTACTTATATTAAAGGCGTTTAAACTTAGATAGCATGCAGTTCTTCTCCTGATAGTTAAAATTCTGCAGTGTGAGCTCAGAAAACTGAAAAATAAGCAGTCCAAGGCCATGTGGGTTTCTTTATGTGCTGTCTTTCTTGTGAAAAGAAACTTAAATATCCCAGCCAAATAACCCCTAGTGCTGAGTTAAACCTCTGGAAGGGAAAAGCAATAAAGAGTAAGGCTCAGGGAGTTCTAGTTGGCTGAAGATAGGCATGTAGGTCAAATTCCACAAAGCACGCCAAGACAAATTCCATTATGGTTTGCCACTGGGATGATTTTCCACAAGGTACTAGGACTGGCATCGTTACTGGCATAATTCTCTCATCTCCTTTAAAAGAAGAAAGGCTACATCTCACCCATAAACACCATGATGATCCAAACAAATGTGTAGTCTCTAGATAAGTTAGGGTAGAAAAGATCAACCCTTGAATATTACTATTGGAAGAACCTGTAGATGCAATCAACGAAGTCAGCCATTTTCTAAGTTACATGTTTTGAACGTTGCATCTACATATAGAAAGGAATGAAGATCTATATACTTTAACATCACTGGTATTCCTAATCTTTACATACTTCATTTTCATCCTCATCACAAGGAATTCCCTTCTGTTTTCTGCCTCTCCTCTACAAAGTTATCTCTGGTACAAAGCTCTTCAGATATTGCATTGGGGTAACTAGGTCCCCAATGCCATCATACATGGCTGTGATTCTTTCTTAAGTAAAGAGCGGGGCTATACGGTAAAGTGTTTATGGTCATGAGCTCTAGACCAAATATTGACTCTACATCTTCCTAGGTGTGCAACATGAGGCAATGACTTAAATCTCTCCAAGATTCCTCTTTTATTTCTCCCCGAGTTTGCACTTACTCATTCATCCATAACAGAGATGATGGTGATACAATATATTTCTATCAAGATCAAATGAGATAATATATGAAGTGCCCCAATAGAGTGTCTGGTGCCAAAATGCTTAAAACTGACTTATTTATTGTTTGGGGCAAAAAAAGTGTACCAAGTCAGACATGTTCCAGTCATCTTAAGCTTCTGATAGCCTTAACATCAACTTCATTCTTTTGATAGTTTTAATGATCACTTCATCTAATTAGAACATTAAAATGAAGATATTTTCTCTACAGAAGTCATGTAGCTGGGGGCCTCAAATATTCCATGAAATAAGCTACAGATATCCTTATAGGAGAAAAGCTGTTCATTGGAGATACAATTAGAAGGAACCACAAGGATATGCAAGGACATTAAATTCTTTCAAAATGACATGATCTGGTGTGTATATCCATCATATACTTGTCTTATGATCAAAGATCTGTTTGAAGACCTTTAGGTAGATGTTATTCTCTCTATATCAAGCTTTCCCTCTTTCCCTCGTATAAACATCACAAATGTCCATTTGGTAGCACAACATAAGCAAAGGAATGAAATGGCAATCAAAAGATTTGAGTTCTAGTCCTAGCTCTGCTACATCTCACAGCTTGCTTCCCTGTTCTCTATCTGAGTCCACATTTGTTTAAAAAACAAAAGCGGCCCAGTGTGATAGCATAGTGATTAAAGTCCTCGTCTTGACCATGCCAGGATCCCATATAGGTGCTGGTTCTAATCCCAGCAGCTCCACTTCCCATCCAGTTCCTTGCTTGTGGCCTGGGAAAGCAGTTGAGGATGGCCTACAACCTTGGGACCCTGCACCCATGTGGGAGACCCAGAAGAGGCTCTTAGCTTCGGATTGGCTCAGCTCCAGCTGTTATGGCTGTTTGGGGAGTGAACCATCAGATGGAAGGTCTTCCTCTCTGTCTTTCCTCCTCTCTGTATATCTGAGTTTTCGATAAAAAGAAATAAATCTTAAAAACCAACAAACAAAAAAACAAGGAGTGTTTTATCAGGAAAGCAAATCAAACCCAGCCACAGCCACACCCACTGATTAACATATTGCCTAGGACTAACTTTTCAGCTACCATAACAGAGTTGAGCAGTTGCATCAGAAATTGCATGGTCCACAATACCAAATACGTTTAGTATGTGGACCATTATAGAAAATCTTTGCTGAGGCCTGAAAATGTTTTCAAACTGTGGCCCTAATGTTTGTGTAGGTACTTTAGGGGCCTCTAAAAGGGCCTAAAGTTCTACAAAAAGCTTCATTTGTAAGATTGTCTTCCTGTAATGAAGGTAGACTCCCAATGAAACTTGGAAGTATGCCTAGACAACAAAAAGTTACAATTCCTACTACTGACCACACCAATAATACTATGACCCATGTAAAGAGTAAAAAGTTGGAACCATTTCTCTTTCATCTCTGTTTTGAAGTGATTGTCCCCTGATGATATTCAATACAAACATGGCTAGGGGCTACTTTGCTCATCTTAGGAAATGACCCTTTCCTGTTTCAATGTGCAGTTTTGTGGTATCAAATCTAATTATTTTTGCTGTGAATTTTACCTTTTCCTACTTCATAGTTATTTGTATCTTTTTCAATAACTTCTTGTGATTCATTAATTGATCACCCGTAAGAGATGGCTTGATTGCTTGTAACACTGCTTTTGCTACATCTCATGGATAATTATGTTCTAGTTTTAATTGTAATTTCTGCAGCACCACATGGGTCATACAGTAGCATCAATTTCTACTAGAAGGTTTTTGATATTCGTTTTTATCACTTTAGCAATGCACTGGCTTTTTGTAGTATGCTTGTTAACTTCATGTTGATGAAAATTTACTCTTTCTCCTTGTTGTGGACTGTGTTTTCTGGCTCTGTATTTAGGGGGATGTATAATAGAAATGTAGCAGAGATTGCTATATTCACCTGTGAAGACAAAGTGCAGT